CAAATATATATGGGGATTTATGTCTGATTATTTAAAAAAAAGTCTTTTTGAAATTAAAAGGCTCCAAAGTATTTTAGACTTCAGATTTAGTGTGTCTGCTTGTTACGTATCACTGCCTTGTCTCGATCGGTAAAGCAAAGGGAAATTGCTTACTGCCTCTGTTTTTCAGTGAATAAATTATCTTCTCTAATCTTCATTTAATGTACCGTCTTGATAAAAAGAGGTCATGACTTTTAAAACAACTCACTATAGGTCGTAATTAATTTCCATTTTTGCATTGCACTTCACTAGGAAGACATAGGTTTAATCACCCTGAGCTTCTCCTGGTGTCCCAGCAGAAAATGTCCCATGAACATAATCTCACTGGGAAATTGATCCCAAAAGTTTTACCAGCATTACAAGAGAAGGTTAAATGGTGCTTGTGATTCTTAATATAGACAAATACACAGTCTGAAGTGCTGCAGATACTTTTATAGATAGTTCTCTGGGCCTCCTAGTATATGTTCAGCATATGTCAAACAGCCTGTCTGTGTCTGCTAGGATAGTTACCATCTCTTGAAATAACATATGCCAAGCCATCAAACTTTCTCTTCCATTGGCGTACACACCAGAGGTTTAGTCAATATATTGGTTTCAGCTAGGGAGTAGGATTTTTCTAAGTTCTAAGCTATATCAACAGACTTTCATAGTCCAGATGGGTCTGTAGACAAGTCCCTGCCGCTTTCTCAGCCTGTAAGTTTGCTCAGCAGGTTGAACTGACATGTTGCTGGAAATGCAGAAGCCAGTGTGGCTTATTCAGCAGTAGGCTTTCATCAGTTCGGATACACCATTTTAACACCACTGAAAATTCATAGATGGTACGTCATGGAAAAAAGGTGGCCTCTGTTTGATTCTTGTTGTTTATACATGTTTGAAAAACAGCAGCTTCCAATGATGATGTATTTTAATTTGCCATATGTATGAAAAGTTTAATTAGCATATTCATCACCCAACCCAGAAGTAGCATTAAAATTCCTTTCACAGGCGGTTCATTAATTGTGCAATTCCAGTAGTCAGTTCTGCCTCCCAGAGACAGTCCTGCATCCGCCCTACAGGCGTCGTGCAACAGCAGGCAAAGCGAGCATGGCAGAGGAGTCAACGATATTCAGTCAGGATGTCTAAAAAGTTATGGCTTTGGTGTTCTCTAAAAACTGATGGACATGAGCATGGGCGACTCCTATTCGCTTCAGTAGTAGCCTGGCCTGTGGGATCAAGAGCAGACGTGGGGCCCTGCTCTGGGAGTATGCTGTTCTCCTGGATGCTGCACAGGCTAGATAATAACTGTGGTCTCTTTGTTGCAAGTGAACCATTGGAGGCTGTGTTACGGTTGTTACCTTCTTGTTCTCTTTGGGAACTGAATGATGGAGCAGAATCCTGAATCTATTCTCTTGCCTGTCGACCCATATTAATAGGGGATCACCCAGCAAATGGATTTGAAATTGCTGGAAACTTGCTCACTGGGCAGAATTCGTCAAGGGGCTATCCCATCTGCCAGAGAACTGGGCAAAGAGCTCCCTCAAAGTTACTGCAGCGATTTAATGTCAGGTGTGCACTTATTTAAAATCATTTTGTGATATTTTTAGATGATGGAATTTATGTCCAACGATCAAAAAGGAATTGCTGCTCTAAAAAATAAGATATCTGTTAATTTCAGTGGTGTCCAAGTGAATGACAAGATATTGAGAACTTTTTTCCTCTGGACTCTTATCTCTATTCTTATTTCCACATAAATCTCAAATGAAGCATTATGCTATATTGGATAGACTCGCACAATGTATTTTCGTTTAGGTCAAGGCCATTGATTTTGAAAGATCAGACTACACAAGATTAGTTCCTGTAACTCCAGAAAATTGTAAAGCAGAAGGAACTGGTGATTTAACAGCTAAATACGTTATGTTTCTGTTACCTGGCTGTGGGAAATTATACCTGTATTCTATCCATAAAGAACAATTACTTTTTGAATCCATGAAGAATACCTTTTCAAATGTTTATATAATATGTAGAAATAGGATATCTTCATTTTTATATGTTGTGTATACCAGTATTAGCATAAAATAATGACAATGAAAAGTATCGTTAAAGGTTTTCTTCTTTTCTGCAGAATGTGGAGTCGCATGCTACCATCAGTCATTCATTCTGCTTTTTTTCTTGTCCTCTGAATTTTAAAAGGAAAATTAGCCTATTTATGTGTGTGTATATGGTAAATCATGGTTCACATTTCAATATAGAAGGCAGAGTACAAATAAATACTGCCAAATTTTTACAGCTACAGGACTTGAGTAGTAACTACTGTTATGAATAGTCCTTTTAATTAGTCTGGAGTGCCTATCCTAGCCAGCTCCTTCTGGGTTTGAATTTTCAATTCCTGGTGGTAGAACGTGACTGTTACTGTTAATGGCTGTTACTACAAACACAGTCAGATCGAATACATGACAAAGCTTAAGAGAGCTTACTGAAAAGACCCTCTGCTTTTCCTCAAGTCTAGGAACTGTGAAGGGGAAGTGGTGAAGATGACCTGGGAGGGACCCGTAAGTGCTTGGGTTCTCTCCATCCCTGTTACAGCTGTCAGGGCCCTACAGGGCCATGGCTCCCTGTGGGCCGGAGCCACTGGAGGCTCCCCTTGAGGGGCCTTCAGGACAGGGCCTGGCAGCATGGGCCCATCCTGCTGCCCAGGCAGGAGCAGGGCAGCTGGGAGGTACCGGGGCAGCGCTGGGTGTTGGGCACCTCCATGGGGATGTGAGGTGGGCCTGTGGGTGGGCCCAGCTCAGTGGCACCCACAGCCTGGCAGGGCTGTATGGAACTGGAGACCAGCCCTGCTGTGGCATTGCTGGGGCAAGGGCTGACGGCCCCGGGGGCTGACGAGGGGTCCAGGGCCATGGGCAGGGTGAAGGGAGCCCCAAGGGGGCTGGGCAGGGGCAGGCAGGGCTGGGGGTGCCCTCAGGGCCTGGGACTGTGTCAGGTGCTCTCCTAGAGCACACTTTCCACACTGGTTACAGTCTGAAAAAAATCCAGTTTGTGTGCTCCCAGCCTAGTCCATGGTGGAAACCCCAGTGAGTGGGGAAGATTGAGGGATCCACATCAAAGGCACATCGGCGCTGCAGGTTAAACCAGCAGTATAGGTGCACCCATGGTCATCTTGATATGTAATGTGGTTTTCCTGCGACAGAATTCTTAATGCTACTTGGTGCTGTTATAAAATAAGTATTTGAGACATGTAGAATAACACAACACAAAATATTGGCGAAATACTGCAGATGTCAGGTTTTTTTTTTAAACTAGGCCAAAACAACAACTAAAGAAACAAATATTAAAATGCTTATTTTTCATCAAGATAGGTAGAAAATTACCTTCTTCATTAACAGTCCTTGATTATTTTTTCTTTGTATGGTGAGTAGGGAAGCAGAAAGCTAGTATTGAAACAGAAAGAAAATAGGACTTTAACAAGGGCTTGATCGACAGGTTAATAAATTCCCACCCCCCAAATATATAAATTTTGCTGTTCATTGCTTTTCACTCATTAATATTGAAATGTGTAATAAAAATCAATTAAATGCAAACATGTTTCAAATATCATTGCAGGAAATCAGACAAGCTTTAATTCAGTTCATTTGATATTGATAAACAGTATTTGAAGAGGAAAATGGGAGATGATAGTGAATTTATGAACAATTTTTATTGGTTGTCCATAAAGATTTGCAAGTAAAATTTCAGGCTGCAGTATAGACGTATTTTTTTATGTTGAGCTGAAACAGAGGAGCAGAATGTCCCCTTTCTGAGACTCAAAATGACATAGGTTTCAACAAGTTTATTACAGAGCAAATAACAGCAGATTTCTGCCAATGAAATGATGTGTCAGATCAGATAGTGACAAGCCTGGCACAAAATCTTGTCTGCTGTCACACTAATGATAACTGAGATTGTGGACAGAAAATCAAGTTGGAGAGTCAGTGGATAATCTGCAATATTGGTTAGGACAAGGTAATCAAGCCATAAAATAGGTGAGAGAAGAGTGGAGAGAGGAAAACAAAAAACCAACCAGTTAATTTTAATAGCTTAACTCTGGGATTTTTGTTAATATTTTTTTTTTCTTATATTACTTGAAAAATGAAAACAATATGAGTCTTGGAACTCCAGGTGTAGTTTATCTTTTCTTTTACAGTTTTCAGTGATTTTTTTTTTTCTTGCTTTTAATTATCTAAATGTAGTGCTTCACCCATTATTTGTTTGGTCAGTGTGTGACAAAATGAAGCTGCTGTATTTGGGGAGTGTTTCTGGGAGTTGCCTTGTGCTAGCAAATGAATGACACCTTTCTAGATTAAAAAAGAAAATTGCTAGAGAATATGCTGTTGCTAATTCAGTAGGGTGTCGTTGCTAATGGTAAGTGACTCCTTGTACCTTTATGAGCTGTCACTACTACTGTGCTTTTGTTTTTAATTCATTAGTATAAATGCTTGACTAGATAAGTACTAGTTTACTGATAGTAATAGCAGTTTTCTATTAATATTTTTTAATCTTCCTAAATTCAGTATCATTGTTGCGTCTCATTATATGGTTTTAATGCTATGTATTGTATGAACAGAATGTTTACCAGTGCACTTTTAATCTGCTGGTAATGTAATACAAACAAAAGGACAGAGCTGCTTAAATGAGATTTCTCATGCCTGTGTTTCCTAGTATGAATTTGTGTTAGTTTTATAATCGTTTTATTGAAACCTTCAGCATGAAGGGTCCTATCGCTGTTTATTTGCTAGCATTACTCTTTCCCATCCCTCTGTGTTTTTGTTTTCTCTGGTGACCCTCTTTGTCCTTAGCTGCTACTACCCATAAGTTTTCCCAGAAACCCAATCCTGAGCAGAAACTAATCTACTGGTGGTTTACAGCCTCCAATGGAGCTTTAGGACTTTTCAGTCTTATTGCTTATGCTACAGTTAATCTACACTGCATGTATTTTTATTTTTCAGGAAACTGAAGCAGCAGTGCAGGCTAAACAGCCGAATGTGGAAGAGGTTTTGTCTAAAGGGTGTCATTTATATAAGGAAAAACCAGCCACTCATCCAGTAAAGGTAATGAAGCAACCTTTAGCAATATCCATTACTGTGTAATGGGTTATGCTTCCCCTGTTGTACACTTGTCCTTGATGTGCTCTGTTTAAAATCAATGAAAGAACTTGGCAAATGGCATTTGTTCTGTTCTGTGACGGCATAGCCAGGAAAAAATGTAATGTTCCCAGCTAGAAATTTTTTGCATGTTGTGATGGGAATACTGTTTTTGACATGAGTGTTGTTTTACCTATTCAAGAGTAATTGAAAGCAAATGTAATTTTTGATGCCTAATTAATGGCATCACATAACATGTTTTTAAACTCCCTTATTTTGAATTTTGCTTTCAGAAATTTTGTCAATTTAAAAAAATGAACATATTTTCTGGAGAAGGTAACAGTCAAGTCACAAAGAGGGCCCTTTGCTTTAAAGCTTTTCCATTGTGAAGGAAAGAACACATGGCGATATAGAACTTTCCCACTCCACTTCTGTGCCAGAATTCATGTAGAATGACTGACTTGGTTTGGTTTTGGAGCGCAGAATACATTAAGAAGGCTAATGCCTCCCAACACTTCTCTTTTAGAAAAATGTACTATAGAATCCTTTTCTGCAGCATAGAAATCAGTTTGAAGGGGATATTTTACATTCGATTTCCTAAAGACTATGCTGACCTTCATTGAGACTAGAGTATCATTTACTGTCCTGTAGAATCTTAAGGCAGAAAATAACCAGCAAGCAGCCTCCCATGTGTAGTTCAGCTATTTTTGGAGTGGGAGACCAAACTGGTAGGGTCACTACTATATCAACCAGAGCTTGATCTTGTTTCTGGTTTTATAACTGCTAATAAAATGATCTGTGAACATGATGGTTAAGAGTTTCCAGAAACTGCAATAGTGGCTTATTGATTACACTAGGTATCTGTTGCAATTTCTTCTGACTGGGCAGAGACAGTAAACTTTGTCTTTGTATTTAGAGCTTCTCCAAAACTACAGCACTCAATACCCTCATTTTACAGAAAAAAGGTTTCCTCACAAAATTAGGATATCTGTAGGAGACCTCTACAGTGAATTTCTTGTTTTTCCATCTCTGTTTAGTTACTATGCTTGGAATATTATTTTCCTACTTTTACAAATTACTAAATTACTTATAAATCCCACCAGCAGATCTCCATTCACAGGAGCACATGAATGCACTTATCTCCACTTTAGAAAATAATACTTATTTAAGAATCATTTGGTTTCTTTTCTTCTTTCCTGAACAGAAGTCCTTAAGAGGTATTTTCCCCTTCAGTATCTATGCTTTTTTTTAATGATCAGTTCTCCTGAACAGTGATAAAACACTAAAAGAGGTGGACTCGGTGACTTAAAAGTAACATGCTAATGAAAGTAGGCAGAAACAAAGCTGTTAACTTTGTGTTGGGTGTTTTCCTTGGCTAATACAGCACTATTAGTGTTGGGAAGTGAAACATCATCTGCACACTGAACGGGTGATGGAACAAAAATCACCCTGCAATTACTGCATTTACTCATTTTGTATGACTCCAGCTGCAATCTTAAGGGATCTTACTCCACAATTTAACAAGCAAAGCACTTGAAACAACAAAAGACTAGAGGTTTTGGCTGTCTTGATATTTGTAATTGCATATAAAGGATTGCAGAATGAATGCTGGCATTTTCAAGGAGAAGAAATAGTACTTGTTTTATGTACCACTGATAGACGCATAAACGGTATGAAATGATTCTGTTTAGGCTAAACTTCTGACATAGAAAAGTACTCTGTGTCTACTTCTTTTAAGTGTCCACATCAAAGAGACTGAAAACTGCCAATTTCTACCAGATTTACTGGAACAAGATAACTCTTTAAATAACGACTATGATGTTCCTTGAGTTGTAGTTATGACAATATATTATAAAATGTGACTGTGAGAAAATTAGTAGCTACTTGTGGAGTAGTGAGTATTTAATTTCTAGTCCCTCTTTAATTGCATTTTACTTTTTTTAAATTACATTCTGTATTTCAGTTAATTGAATGACCAGTGAAGTTAATTTCTGGTTCACTGTCTGTCTTGTACAAGTCATAAAACAGTATTGTCAGGACTGTTCAATTGCTTTCTTGATGATGTAGGTTTCCTTAAGTTTCCACCCATTTATACTGAGTTGGTCTTCTGTCATCATTCTTCATGAGTAACTTCCAGGACTGCTATTTATATGTTCCAATATAGACTTTTCAGCAAATGTCAAAATCATTTTCCACACACAAGGTATTCTGTGGAAGCAGAAATAATTTGTACTCCGATTAAGATGGTTTTGAAAATATATTAGCAAAGTTGCAAAGTTGAGTACTCAAAATTTTAGAAAATTATTGAATTAAAGCTGCTGTTGTGGCCTTTGTTTAGGCTGAACCCTGCCTAATTCAGTACAGGATATGGATAGTGCTCACACTATGAGCAGCATTCAATACTTCAACTCATATTCCTTGTTTAGTTTGTGACACAGAAAAAAAACCCCTCAGAATTGCATGGCCTCTTTAAAAGCATTAATTACTTACATAACCTTGCTTGTCAACTTTGTAGATGGTTTAGTTCTCTGAGGCACCTTTGTCTTAGCTGCCTTTTTTTCTGTCTGATTTTCTTAATTCACCACAAATCTTCCCATTCTTTTCAATAAATGAAGTATAAGTGCTATAGATTCATTTACACTGCAAGCCTCTCCTGTGCTGGAAAACAGTACGTGTCAGAATTAAAGATATTGGTGCAGTTATGCATATTGTATCTGAATTAATGTTCATAGTTGACGTTATTCTGGCATTTCCTAATGTGTAGCTGTTTATCTTCGCGACCTTTATAATATACTCTCATTGTAGTGTTTTGAATGTAAATTAAATCCCATGGATTTATATTGACACATACTTAATCTTAGCTCATAATTATGTCACTGAAATAAGTGTATTTTCACACCTTCACTAAGCATACTAAAAGTGCTGATACTGGAATTTTGCAATGCAGGACTGTAAAAATATTTTTGTTGGCAAATGAAATCCTAGTATATGCTGATTCAAGAGTCAAGAATGGGATGAGACATGTGATCCTTTAAGCACTAGCACTTTAATAATCAGACCTATTCACTTTTATAAAATGGATTTCATGCTTTTGAAATACATTTCTGTAAAGCTTTTGCAGGTGGGGGAGGGACAGTGGCAACAGAAGGAATGTAAGCCCCAATCTCATGATTAGCAGCACTTAAAAAGAACAGTTTATTCAGGAAGGGATTTCTGTGACAGCGGTAGAGCTGTAGTTCTCTTGCCACAGCACTCAATTTCTCCTTTCCCATGTTGGGTGGGAGAATAAGTAGTGAGGAACTAATTTTCATTGTCCTCAGTCTTGCATTTAAAAGACTACATCATTTATCTCTAAATACTCCTATCTAGTTTTAGTGCTGTCAATGAGATTAGTTAATGTATAAATGTTAACCTCACTTAAATTGCACGGGTGCTGACATTTAAAGGAAATCAATAAATCAATAAAAGTGTTCCTCAATGCAACACATTTTGATATTCCTACTTGTCACCAAAGCTCTAGAGTTGCAATTACAGCAAAATTGTTGTGCTCAAAGGAGTTAACATTTTAATGCACACATGCTAATTTATGGCAGATGCAAGATTGGATCAAACTGTAATTCTGATAGAAGAGTTTGGAACTAGCTACTCTCTTATTAGTGACGTAGATGTTGCCTCAGAGAACCCTCTCTAAAGTCTGTGGTGGGCAAGTCTTATATTTTGCCATTGCTGGAAAGAAGTCCCTGGCTCACATCCACATAAATGATTAAGCAGCTAGTCATAGGGAGGACCAATATTATATTTATAACATCCGTATCTCCTTCCTGAGTTCTTGGAATATATTGTAAAATGAAGACAGACTTTGACATTGTAATCTCTCCAGCTTTTGTTTTTAAGGACTCTCTGCTACTATTGAATTAATAGATGTTGGAGCAGTCCTTTGCATTTTAAGCTCTGGAAGTAGGTTCTTGGGTTACAACAGCAGAAAAAGAAAAAAAAAAAGTTGCTTTAAAATCTGCTATAAAATGTGTCCAAAGTGTGTGCTTTTATGTGTCTGTAATCCACGTAGAAATAAAACATATGTATGATTGTGAATTGCCATATGACAAGTTGCATTTATCATGCATACCTGATTGCTTTTTCTGCCTAGTCCTCATAGTCTATTATCAAGGAGAATCTCTGATATTCCTGACTTTTGATTTTGTTTTTAATGCAGTTTTTAAGCTGCTCTTAAAGATAAGAAGTTGTTTAATTCTGTAATGCAGAATTGTATTCTTTCTCTCCTGCCCTATCAAAAAAGATTTGCACAAAAAGCTGTCCAGAGTTTGTATCAGGTTCTGGCCTCCACTGGTGACAGATACAAAAGAACTTTGCAGGTTTGGAGTACTTATAGCAAAGCTTAAAGCAGGTTCTAGAAATGTTCCCCTGACACATCAGAATATAAAATTGTGCTGCCTCAGTGTCTCTGTGCATGAGTGTGTGTGTACACACTGCAATTTAATGAGTACTGTTCCCTATCCCTCTCCTATTGACCTCTGTTGTCTTAGTCTCTAGGTAATTAAAGTACCTTTCTTAATAGGCATCCTATTTGCATCACGGCTGGATTGTGATTTAGACTATATATCTAATCACGAATTGGACACAATACTAAAAGTATTCCTGAGTGGCACTGGTACACTGTGCTGCTTTTCATAGCAGACAATCAGGGAGCATCTTAAAAAAGAAATATAGTCTTCATTTTAAGAGTTTAGAGATGACAGCATAGAATTAGCAATGCTTCATCCTTCTCTACAGTCCTTAAAGCAAGGAAGAGAGAGGGGTAGAAAGAACATTTTCAAGTTTAAATGCCTCTCAGGGTTATCTGAGGACTGATGTAATTCACACTCCAGACTTGCACTTAGGTTTTGTTTAAAAGTAACAGTTTAGCCATTACCAGTCAGGACTGCATGCACACACACTGAAGTTACTGACTCCCTGAAGACTCCTAAGACTTTCTTTTTACTTTTTTTTTTTTTTTTAGTAGGTGGAAGAATGCATTCTGGATTTGATATTACAAATTGCAGAGGGTTTACTGACAAGTTTGTGGGTTTTTTTTAAAATACATAATTCACCTTTTTATTTTAATTTAAAAAATTACCATCTTGGGTTTGTGGTGATACCTCTCTATGGTATGTTGAAGAAGGAGTCATCCTGTGTTCCCTAAAAAGGTTTACAGGCCTGTTGACCAGAGAACAAGGCAGGCCAGTGCTCCGCGGGAGCAGGCAGTGGTGGGGTCTCCCCAGCGGGCTGCAGGACAGGGTCTCACCAGCCAAGGAACCCTCCTGCCACCCTCAGCCAAGAAGCGGGGCAGACTGGGGGGGGTCAGAATCAGGCCCAGTGAGGGGAACCAGAGTCAATCACAGCCCCAGGTGTCTGGGCAGGGCCATGGGGATGGGAAGGGGCTGAAGTTGGTCCGGGAAGTCAATCTGTCATCAGCGTCAGGCAGCTGCACTGGCTCTAAGGTGGCTCTGAGCTTCAGGAGCCACACTTTGAGGAGGAAAGATACTTTCAGGGCCCTGACACCATGAAGCTCTTCTGCAGCCTAACTGGGAAGGATTTTACTTATCCATCTCTCCTGTTTGTGAAAATCACTTGCTGTTTCTACATTTCTGTTGTGTGGGGTTTGGTTTTTTGTTAGTTTTTTTTTTTTTTTTTTAAATCAGCTAGTCCATTAGATGGAGAAAAAAAAAGTTTAATTTATTTTACATTCATTTATATTAATTTATGTATTATAAATTTAATATATTTTTATTTTCTATTCTAGAAAAAATTAGAAGACTTGAGTGCTGACTGGAAGGCAATAAATCACTTAATTCAGCAATTAAAGGAAAAGCCAGCATTGGGAGCATTTGGCCTTTTCTCTTCAGGTGTCTGTAAGTGCTTCAGTGTATATCTATTTTGAAATTAATTACTGATCACACAGTTAAAATGAAAATGGCTGGAGACTGTCTAAATTCATTCTTCATCCTTACAAATTTCAGCTTTAACTTGTATACAGGAGGTGTGATAGTGTGGTGTTTGACTTGTTTTTTTATCATTTCCTTTCTATTTTGTGTAATGTGTCCCAGAAGACAAGTTAGATTATGGATTTGATGGAAAGCGTGCAGCATGCTTTTCAAATTATTATTTTTTCTAGGTCTTCTTTCTTTATTCTATGAAGAGATGAGATTGTGACTTTCTATATAAATTCATGGAGGAAATACTATGAAGGAGGAAGAATTATTTAAATTAAAATAGAATAATATTACAGGTATAGTGGATGTAAATTGGTCACAATGAAATTCTGAAATTACTCTTTATGATAGGGCAATAAACAGAGACGGTTTCAAGACAAAGCTTGTGTATGGGTAGAAAGGGTTGTATGACAACACAGTAAGAGTAATTCTGCAGTTAAATATTAAGTCTGTGATATACATCTCTGGGGGTCTTGAGTTCATGAATCCACAACAAGAGACTTGATCTCCATTTAATTTAAATTATTTGGACAATATTTATATTAGATTCTTCTCATATCTCTTTGCACCTGCTGGTTCCCTACAAGGATTAGAAACTCATTTTTATCTCCTTGATAAATGGATTTTATTTCCCACTGCTTTCCTTTGAAATGTAGTGATTAAGCATGGGAGGAAAAGAAATACATAATGGAAGCACTGGAATAAATCTGGGTTTCTAAAGTCTCTAAGATTCTTTACTTGATATTGAACTATCATTGTTGCTTGGATGAAGAATGTTACCCACCCGTACAATTTGGAAAGCTGCTCATCAGATGTGGGAACAGAAAGAAATCCCCTCCATACCTGCCACCCCGCCCTGCCACCACCCCCACCCGCATCAGGTTGCCTGTAATTCTGGCTATGGGTACAGTAGTCATCTGGGATTTGATTACTTGTAGGATGTTGATCCCTCTTGCTTTTGACGTCTTTTAATGGGTAGCATACAAGAAAATCTGACATTGGGCAATTCTCTACCTTCTACTGGTGACTCTCTAGGACAGCAAAGCAGAAAAATCTTTTTACAGAGAAGTAAATAATTATACCATATATACAGAATCCAGAATATTCAGTACCAGAACACAGTCCAACTTCTGTCAGAACAGCATATATCAATTCAAGCATAGCAGATGTCTTGCTTATGACATGTTGAATCTTGCTTAACAGGGACTATCATTTAGTTTTAGTCATTTAGAACTGCTCTGTTCTGTGGCAAACATTTCAATTTCTAAAAAGGGGTAAATACCACTAGTATTTTTTAAAACTTGTAGTACAGCAGTATCCTTGCTTTAGAGAATTGTGTTCTAAGGCATGCTATAGAAATTTGTGTAATGACATGGGGGAACTGAAGGAGATGCGTAATCATTTTTTGCTGTGCTGGGTCACTAAACTTGCTTTGTCAGCTTTGTATGTCAGCAGGTTACTCCAGGGGGAGGGAGTTTGTGAGTTGTGTATTTGCTGTTACAAAGGAAATGGTAATAACGGAACAAGAGAGAAGACAGAGTAGTAGTGCAATAGATTACTATGTAAACTCATCCTTAGCTGAAGAATTTCAAAATTACTCATTTACCTTAATTCAAGATGTAGACTGACTATTAACATTTCTGAGACTCAGCAGATGGAATTATACACGCAGAAAATGAAAATGCTGCTGTTCTATAAAGGATTAACCAGGAAGTAAGATTGATTTCCTTTCTTTTGCCAAGAGCACTTAAAATTTGAACCTGTGCTTGTAGCACTAATTCATAATTTTTCTTTATTGAGCCAGTTTACTGCAATCACACCATTATAGATGTATCACCACAGAACTGTAGAGTTCAGAAAGGACCTGGAGAGACATCTAATCCTCTTTCTCAAAGCACAGTCAATTAACACATGTTGCTCAGGGTCATGTCCAGTCAGGTTTTGGATATCTCCAAGGATGAAGACTCCATAACCTCTCCAGGCAACCTGTTCCAGTGTTGAACCACTCTCACAGCAAAAAAAAAAAAAAAAAAGTTTCTTCTTCTATTTAAATAGTATTTCTAGTATTTCAGGTTTTGCATAGTGCCTCTCGTCCTGTCACTGGGCATCACTGAAGAGTCTGGTGCTGTCTTCTTTATTCCACTAATCAGATATTTATAAACATGGATACGGTCCCCCTGAGCCTTCTCTTCTGCAGGCTGAGACAGTAGGTTTCTGCAAAGATAGAAAGTGGCATGAGTTACTAAAATATTTTTGTGTTAAAAAAAGTTAAAAAAATTTTTTTTGAAGGGCTGTGAAACAATGGCAGTATCTCCTGTTGATAATTATTCACTTCCTGATTCTATAGGAATTTTTGTAGACATCAGAATTTAATAATGTTGACATCTATGTTTGAGACAAGGAAATGAAGATGTAATTGGCTAACCTCTACTGCCCTGTCAGTGTTCATTCAGTCTAGTCAGGCTACAAGATCTCAGCCAGAGGGTCTTGCTAAATATATCGTCTGGTGGCTGTGACAGGGGTAAAGGACCCTGTTTATAATTATTTCCAGGCCTGTGTGTTACAGTTTCTTCAGCAGTTGAAGCACTAAAAAAAGTCCTTAATATCCCACTAGTCCAGTGTGCCCTCAGGCATAATGAACAAGAACTACTTTTCTAGCTTGGAAAATGTACTTAGTTGAAGGGTACGTCTAAAACGTTAGCAAAGATTGACTTCCAAGACAAGATGATTCAGGAAGGAAATCACACTTGCTATCTGTACTTAACATGATAACATGAAATTCTGTGAATGTCTCTATCCAAATACTTTGATGCATTGCTTAGCCAGCAGTTTGAAAACATTTTAAGCAGAGAGAAATGCAGTTTCGGAATGTGCTTCTACAGGAGGGACAGATTTTAATATTATTGTTAGCATTCATATGACTTCTTTTGTACTGAAGTAGTACCACTGTATTTCCTTAATAAGTTAGGTAAAGGTATATAATGCTTTCTAAACCCATGTGAATACACTGTGGGGTGGGAGGCATTCCTGAA